GCCCTGCACGGTGTAGCTCATGGCTTCACTGAGTTACGCAAGCCCCTTCGCCACGACAAGGCAGTGATCCATGAAGGGGTTATAGGGGCTAACAGCAGGAAAAGCCACAGTGAGTGAAGCAGCATCAAATGATTTTACGCCCCAAGACAAGAAGAAAATGAGAAAGAGCAATTGCAGTATCACTTGGTTACAAGAAGCCAATAATTACACCCAGAGCTACACATATTTTCCACTATTGCAAAGGTTATTCATTTGAGAATATATTAATTCAAGATGCTGGATCTGCAAATAGATTCAGATCTTGGAATCTTCACAAGCTGGTCACATTCTTCTTGGATTTGTGTCCCTTTGGAGTGCAAAATGCCTGCACTGCCATTACCTCCTTTATTAAGGGAAAGATGGGCGATCTTCTTCAGCATCCAGTTCCTTTTCTGTATCTACCTTTCAATGAGCATTCAGTGGAACAATTCCCAGTCCTTTCTGGATCTGGAGCCAATTTTCAAGATGCATAGTCATCTCTCTAGGCATTGCCAATATTGGAAATCATTTTTGTCTCTCATATTCTTATTTCTTCTTGGATTTGTTTTAACCTGCTTTTATTGCTTTTCAAAGGAACTCTCATAATTTCATACTTCTTGTATGTTTATGACTGTATTATAAGGTAGCCTAGGCTGAGAGATGGCGACTTCACACCGGCCTCCCCAAATAAAAGTCTAACAACCTGCTCCTCCACAAAATCCTTTCCGCTGTCCACAGAGCTCCTTCAAAAAGTGACCAGGGAACTGTAATTTTTAATGGAATACAAGCAGAACATGATGAAATGCAAGAGGAATCATTGTATTTTATTGTACATTTGATTACGTGTAGTGGTCCGGACATTAAACATCACTGACTTTCTCAGAGCACCTCACACGAGATCTGTGCCATTGATTTTTCAGAGTAGCCATGGTTTCCAAGTCAGGAGTCCTGTGTCATGACAATAGGAGGATCCCGTTCATGTGATCAAAGCAGGCTTTGACCATTCTAACATTGCTGTTCTCGCTATGGAAGTAATGAGATTGGCCATAAAGATTGTCCTTCTAGAATAAACCAAAAGTGGAAAAATTGTTCTGGTCCTGTTTTCTGCTACTGAGACTTTCTAGAAATTTGTCTCCAAGATTCTGAAGAAGCTGTGTTTATTTATATATTTGCACTTTAAATATCTCATATCCCCATGCCTGACACAAAGGTCCCAGCAGAATCTTCTGGTAGTTCATCACTTTTTAGAGGTAAGAAGGATGGAAGCAAACAGGCACTGCTTTTCTTTCAGTGTACCTGCCTTTGATATTCAGTCAGCTCCCCCTCTATTAGCTTTTTATTCATTTATTATTTATTTATTAAACCAATTTATCTAACTTTCGGATTATACACAAAAGAGTTATCTAAGAGAGATTTTGAATTGTGAATGTTGCCCTCTATTTCTTGATTTTATTTTGGAGTCTGTGCTTCTGCCTTATAAAGTCATTTACTTAATATTTCTTTCTTATTTTGATTGGATTGTTGTTTTGTACCACAGATATTTTAGCATAATTTGATGAGGTTATGAGATTTTGGTACTTTTGATTCCAGTGTGGCGAAAAATCAAACAGATGAATAAAACATGATATGATATATACAGTATTTGCATATTAAATGTATGTGTTTTAAAGGTATCCATGAAACATCATTAATGTATAAGTTCACATTACACCTTTCATCAAGTGTATATGTGTTATACTTTTTAACTTTACTTATAATTTTCATCGGTAAGGTTATTTATTTATTTATTCAATTTATATAGGCATCCATCTCATTTTAATGTGACTCTAGGCAGAGTAACATAAAATAAATAAAACACATAAAATGTACAATATAAAATAAAAATAAAAATAAAACAAACAGCAGCCGGGCATGATCCAGCCGATCATCCGTACAGCTAGGGCCTCAGGCTCAGGCTTAGTTATTAAGGGTCATCTTGCAACTGCATTTCCTGATCTGCATACCAGTCATAAGACTAATGCAAACTAAAATAGAACAAAAAAGAGAAGAGGAAAAAGGGGAAAAAATGAAAGAAAAAACTAAAAGTGCAAAAAAGAGAAAGATTAGTAGACAAATATAAAAAGAGGGGAAAAAAGATATGAACAAGTGGCTTCCAATCTTCTTTACAGCAGTTGGAAGTACAATTATAAATTGATCTCTCTCTCTAAAGTTACATTGTGACTCTCTTCTTTCTGTAATCTATCTAATCATCAAAGACATAAATCATGAATTCATTTTCTCTCTCTTTTTTCTTTTTTTTGCAAAAAGGTCCATAAGGGGTAGGTTCAGTGAATCAATTTTGACATATTCACAAAAATGAAAAACTGAAATTAATAGGTTCTCCTAATCCTTACTTTACATTATTGAAGGTCTACTGGCTTCTGTTAGTGACTGTACATTGTTGATCAAGAACATAAGAAACTACCTCCCTGATTAGTTTAAATTCTTGGCAAGAATCCCCAAAAGCAGGAGGTTTCTATGTTCTGGGGGAAATTGGCCAGTGGCCCACCAACTCACAACTGTTGACCTTTTATCCTGATCTAGGTCTGCTGCCTGTAAGTGAAGCTGCTCTGATGATAGCAAGCAAATACACAAAGCTAATTTACAAATTCACTATTAACTGGTGGACTCTTTTTTACAAGTTGCACTTTTGGGAATTACCAGCATTGGCTGATTTAAACACCTGAGAACTCTTCAAGCCCAAGAAGCTGCAATAACCTGATTAAAGATGGACATCAGTCCATCAAAAGATCAGAACCAGACAAGTGTCACTGAATTTCTCTTGATGGGCTTCTCTATTGGCCAAAACAACCAGACTCTTCTCTTTGTCATAGGACTGTTTGTCTATTTGTTAACTTTAGCTGGGAATCTAACCATCATTACATTGATCAGGATAGACCAGCATCTCCAAACTCCCATGTACTTCCTCCTTGGCAATCTCTCTTTTGTGGAGATCTGCTGCACTTCCACTATTGCCCCCAAAATGCTATTGGACCTCTTGTCAGGGGACAAGACCATCTCCTATAGTGGATGTGCACTACAACTGTATTTCTTTGGTACTTTTGGGAGCACAGAATGTGTCCTTCTCTCAGCCATGGCCTATGATCGTTATGCAGCTATCTGCCACCCCTTGCACTACACTCTGCTCATCAACCAAACAGTACGTCGATATTTTTTGGCAGCCTCCTGGACTATTGGCCACTTCAATTCCACTATTAACACAGCTATGGTCTTTTCCCTACATTTCTGCCACTCCAATGAAATCAACCACTTCTTTTGTGACATTCCTCCCTTACTACACTTATCTTGTTCTGATATCTTCATCAGCCAGATGGTGACCTTCACTATCTCTGGGAGTATTATGATTGTGTCATTTGGCTTGATTCTTCTTTCCTATATTCTCATTGTCTCCTCTGTCCTCAAAATCCGCACTGCTCGTGGTAGGATCAAGACATTTTCTACTTGTGGATCACATCTCACTGTGGTGAGCATCTTCTATGGCACCCTCATTTATACCTACATACAGCCTTCGTCCACTCTCTCTATAGAAGAAGACCACCTCATTTCTGTGCTATACACCATCATTATACCACTGCTCAACCCCTTGATCTATAGCTTCCGAAACAAGGAAGTGCAACGGGGTCTTTGGAAAATTCTTAGGAAGAGCAGGTCATAGATGTCAATTTTAAAATTTGTAATTTTTAAAAGTTAAGATCCATGCAAAATCATACAAACAATTCATGTAAAGAAAAATCATTGATGTGTTTTCCCTCTATGTATTTTTAATAACACTCTATAAATAATAAAGGAACTAAGTTCACGATTTTGTGGCAATATTGTTTACCTTATACAGTGAATGGGAGCAGTCATTGCCTTTTCCAAATATTTCCAGCTATTTCACATAAATCCTTTCTCCACTATCTAGGGGAATTTCATAATATATAGTTTATCTAGAATAGATTAATGTAGCATAACTAATGGAGATTGATGAAAATCTATTAATCTCTCAAAACCAAGACAAATTCATCCACAATTTCAGTGAGAAACTGTTGATATTGAAATGCTTGTGAATATCTGGAAGCTTGGCATTCAAAAAATCAGCACTGAAAGACACATAAAGATAAGCCTCCTCTACATACGTTTTAAAAAAGAGACAGTCAAAAGTCAAGGAAGGAAACTAACACTCCAGTGCCCATCCTCCCCAGCTGCCCATACCCAAATAAGTGGGAAATAGCACCAAATAAACAATCAGAGAGGAAACAAGACTCTAATCAAGGAACCATTAAGGAAAAACCACACCCCAACCAATATTGGAAGTTTAAGCCATATATAAACAGGTAACAAACATGAGTTTGTAGCATGAGTTGCTTATTGTCTGGGACCTTTCCTTATTCCCTGTTGCCAGAAGAAGAAAAAGCACCAGAATTCATTGTGCTATTCTTGTGCTATTGTATGATCTCTGTGGGCCCAATATCACTGAATAATGGATTTCAGCTCCCCTCCAGAAGAATACTGCCTCATGGTCACAGTGGAAATGGATAGCTTTTCAATGGAATTTTTTTTAAAAAAATGTTTTTCCTTATCTATTTTGGAAAGAGAGGCAATGTTTCAAAACATTTCCTTTTATCACTGTCAGCTTTAGGCCTGACCATCAATGTGAAATTTCCATTTTTGCAGTTTTAGAGCATATGGATGCCATCACTGGAGCAATATAAAGGCTGCATGTGTTGATGGTACATAAGCACAGTGATGGTTTAAAACATGTATTGCAGTCTTGAAGTCTTCATGGTGGTGCCAAAATCATTACTCTGATTCAACAGTGTTCACAGGGAGAGGTTAAAAAACAAGATGGTGAAAACTTTCATGATGCAATCCCCACCTTCCATTACAAAGCCACTTTCACTTGCATTTTTTGACACCTCACTGTATCCTACATAAGCTGCTGCTGTGGTATTGGAAATGGAGATAATACTTCTAGAAGACCAGTTGAAAGAGCTGAAGCAGTTTGTCCTATGGAAAATAAATACTCATTTCCTCCTTTCAGTCCTTATTTTGGTATTCCCTTGTCCACAAGTCCTGCACTGAAAGAAAACCTACACATACCTTGCATGTGCTTATATTGGTGTAGTCTCCACTGTATAATCTGACATTATGTTTTCTCCTCATTTCTTTTCTTAATAATAAATAGAAATTTCTTGTTTTGGCAGTTAGCTTGGTTGTCCCAATGATTTTAACTACATCATGTCCATGGCAAAAATTGAATCAGGAGAAGAAAGGAAACATTATTTTAAAACTGGAGAGCTAAATACAGCTTTGAACTCTTTCCACATTTCACAAGTTATGAAAGCTATTTTACAGGACTTTATTAATGAATATCAATGTTCAACTACAAGAAATATTTAAAATAGGAGAATTTCAACAAGGCAGGATGGAAATTGATGTTGAATTATGTACTAATGGCAAACATGTTATGGCAAAGTTGTATATACAGTTATTGAAATTAGAGACAGAAGATGAACAAGATAAAGATTGTATGATAAAATGGCCTAAAGATTTTGGTTATAACATATGGATGGAGCAATGGGAAAATATATGGCAGAAAGGATAGAAATTTACATAATGTTATAATATTAAAGAGCATTTTTATAAAATGATGTATCGTTGGTATTTGTCACCAGAAAAAATGTCCAAAATCTATTATGGTACTTCATATGTATGTTGGAAATGTGAACAAGAAGAAGGGACATTTTGTCATCTCTGGTGGACTTGCAAACATACAAAAAAAAAATTTGGAATCAAATACATATTTTATTACAGAAGATTTTAAAGATTAATATATAGTCAAAACCAGAGACTTTCCTTTTGGGTTTAATGGACAAACAGTTTGAAAAATATTATGGAACTTTGTATATATGATAATAGCAGCAAGATTTTTATATGCACAGAGATGGAAAGATAAGAAAATACCTACAATGGGAGAACAGATGGTGGAGTTGATCAGATGATGAAATTGATGATTTTGATTTGAGAAAAGACATTGGGTAATTTTTATGCTAACTGGAAAGCTGTTTTGGACTTTTTGTGGAAAACAGAAAAAAATGAAATTATGTTGTATGGATTTCATGATTACAAATAATACGGGTTAATAGAAATAATGAAAGTTACGTTGTAAACTGTTGCATGGAGGGTCGGAGCTCAATTTTTTTTCTTTTTTTTCTTTTTGCATTTTTAATTTTGACTATCTCTTTTTTCTAATCTTTCTTTTTTCCCTCATTTTCTTTCTTAATCCTACTTCTTGTTAGTTTTTACTGTTTCTTTTTAAAAATTAATAAAGTTATTGTTAAAAAAATAACTGGATAGAGCAACATTATTCTGACACCCTCTCCTTGGATATGACAGTACATCCTCAGGCTGATCTAGCAAACTGAAGAAAAAAGAAAAACTTCATGCTCACTGTCTCTACAATAAAACTGACTGGTCTATCTGCTATCACCCAAATTCTGTCTGTTGAAGGAAAAGATGACCAATGTACCCTCCCCTAAAATCAAGGGCAAACGAAACTGAAGAAATAACTCCTAATTACTTGTTACACCTAATATTGAAATTGTCTTAATCTAGCACCTTTCCAGAGGCTCATTAAGAGATCGCATGAATTAGCTCAAATATAATTTCTGAAACTGACTTCCAGTGTGAAATCATTACTTCCCATTTAGTAGTACCTGCTCTCCCCTTTTAACTAAAATGCATGCATAAATCTGAAGAAGGTTCATGATTGCAATTCCTCACTGTAGCATATGGATACATAATGACTTCTAACCCCAATCTTAATTTCAGTTAGTTCTCTATAGAAAGCGGGACGCAAGAATCATCATTTAACTCTCCATTTTGGAATCATGTTTCATGTTAATAAAAACACAATATGGTATATAATGACACATTTAATTCTGCACATGTAACACATCCCAATTTAGAGTAAATCACATAAACTGGCAAGTTTTACAGAGAAACCGCAAATTAGGATCCCTCATCTATTTATAAATTGCCATTATGCTTAATATCATAATTAGATGAAGGAATAAATTTAGAGAGCTTTGCATTATTCCTGCAAAGATGTCCCCAACCAAGGAATTTCCAAAAGGCAGCTTTGACATCTTTGTTCCTCATGCTGTAGATTACTGGATTCATCAATGAAGGGACCAAAGTATACAGCACAGTAAATGATTCCTCCAATTTGGGAGGAAAGGTTGGCATCAGGTAAGCTAAGTGAGCCAAGAAGCTATTGGCAAGAAATAGGGAAACAACAATGAGGTGAGGGATGCATGTTGAAAAGGCCTTTTCCCTTCTCTCAACTGAGGGCATCCTCAGCACAGTGGTAAAGATCCGCACATAACTCAAGAGAATGAATGAGAGGCAGCCAATTGCTAAACATGAACTAAAGACAAGAATCCAGGTTTCACTGAGGTAAGAATCAGAACAAATGAGCTTGACTAACTGTGGAAGTCCACAGACAAACTGATTGATGATGTTGGAGCAGAAAGACATTGAAAAAATATTCCCTGTGTGTAGCACAGCATGCAGAAATCCAGCCACCCATGCCCCTCCGGCCACTCGGAAGCAAGTGGACCACTTCATTATGGATGCAAAGTGCAGTGGGTGGCAGATGGCAATGTATCTGTCATAGGCCATGACAGTGAGAAAGAACAGGTTGGTTGCAAGGAAAAACAGAACGAAAAACATTTGTGCCCCACATCCAGGGTATGATATCCATGTGGAGTTCATGAAGGTGTTAAGTACAGATTTTGGAATTATGATCGAGGTGGAACCAAGATCACCAATGGATAAGTTGATCAGAAAGAAATACATGGGGGTGTGCAGATCACTACTGAGCACTACCAAAAGAATAATCAGGAGATTCCCCACCAAAATAAAAAGATACATAATCAGGAAGAGTATGATATATAAAATCTGAATCTTTTGACTTCCAGAAAATCCAAGAAGTACAAAATCTCTTACATTTGTTCCATTAGAGAGGACTTTGTATTCTCTCCTGTAGGAAAATGAAATGCACATATTAATAATATAATGCAATATAATACAGTATAATATGATATAGTCTAATATTAATATAATATATAATCATTGACAAAGTCTGTAACTTCATAAGAATATCAATCGTTCATATTATTTGTAACAACATTCTGTATCATTGTGATATATTTAATATATATGTTTTCTAAAGGCATGAAAAAATCTTTTACAAAACAATCGATATAATCTTTATAATTAAACAACATGCTTCGAAACTCTACCTAGAGAAGCTGTGGGATCTCCTGTAAGCAAATTATATTCTTTATCATTGAGTTCACCCCACCCCCCTCATTTCCCACTTGATTCTCATTACACTCTCATGTATATTCTAAATATACTTTTATACTAACTCTAATCCTATCTTTCTTCACCTCTACTACCTGGTAAACTTCTTTTGTTTGTCCCATCTCCCAAGTTCTGTTCTCAGTTCCCATCTTGCCTTTTTTAAAAAAGGTGTCTTCCTTCTACACAATACTGTAGGTGCTTTAAAGATAGGGAAAAAACTAGGTGTTACAGCCACATCCAAAATTATTTAAGTATGAATTTCTTTAAATGCAGAATTAAGCTAAGCATTTCCGAATATCTTGG